AACTAGTTTCCCTTCATCTTCGTCGTCGTATATACCTTCCTTTCGTTTTATTACCCTTCTGTCGTTTTTTTTTGCATTTGAATGTTGTGTTAGATGATTGTCGTAATTGTACTGTAAATACACTTGAATAACATGAATTATTCATACTTTGTTTCACTTTTATTTTCTTTTGATACATTTTGCTTCTTGTTGTTGGTGTTACTTTGTGGCTGATGCTGTGGGGTTTTTTTTTTTCATTATTACCGGCACTCGACCAACTTTCTTTCGTCCTTATGAATCTTTATGAAATTAGTCACAGGTTTTGCTTTCCACAAGTACCACTTACAATTTTCAACCGTTTCTCATCGTTCAAACTTCTACACAAACGTACATGTCAACAGCAGCAGTAAGCCAGAAAAGGTAATGATTAAAAAACGAAGGAAACTACTTTCTTAGCACATTTACGTCTTAATTTTCCGCACCTCTTGGGTCAGTAATGAAGAATTCGTAGTTTTTTTTTAGAATAATACACTTTGCAAAGAAATTTAAGACGCTATTTGTATATCTGTATATAAGTTCAGCCACGGGTATTGAACGGAAAAATTGAAATATTGCCTTCATTGGCTACATAGGTCAACGTTGGGTAGCGCACGTTTTGTACAATTATTATCCTTTGTTCTTATTCTGGGCATCTGTGAAATACGAAGAGGGGAAAATAGGCTGAACGTTGGTAGTTTCTTTAGTATTCCATTCCGGCAAAATAAATTTAATTTAGTTTTATACACCTTGAGGTTAAGGTTGCATTCAATTTTTTATTGAAAACTCATTCATTCAGAACGAGTAAGTTCGACTGGCCCGAGCATTTTATACCAGCCAGAAATTGGCGAAGATTATCTGTCCAGAGTTTTGTATCTTCTCAGAAAATTAAATACCAAATTTCAGACACTAAAGATCGGAAATTTCATCTAAAGCCTTGAGAGACTGATAATTGGGCAGAACTTATATAAAAAACGGGCTTACTGAAGGTGTTTTGCGAATGGGGCTTTGTGCCCACCAACAACCAAAAACTTTATTTTTGTATGCTTTTTTGGTCGCTTTAGTAGCCACAATTATGGCCGAAACATCACGAAATTTTACACGAAGAAGGCGATCTGAACAAAGAATACACGTGGTAAATGGGTTACATACTTTTCTGTGAATAATGACGAAATTTGCATTATGTGGTATATGTATTTACCCAGAAGGACATAGACTGGAGTAGTTGGAAGTGTATTTAAGAGAAGTGGTGTTCATTTAAGGGGACCCCCCCCATTCTCGGGGTCAAACATTTTTTTGATTTATTCGAATCTACACTAATTCAAGAATGTCCCTACAAATTTTCATGTAAAAATCTCAAGAACTCTTGAAGATATAGCCGATTAATTGCGTCAGCATCAAATGACGGCTAAAGAGTTTCTCAAACTTTAAACGCGTTTTTCTCTTTTGCGAATGGCGGGCACGATAACTCAAAAACTAATAACCCAATCGATTCCAAATTTTACACGTTTCTCTTGGTTTTTGGTCAAAAATCGGCGATTTTCGAAAAATATTTTTTCAAAGGTCCGCCATTTTGTTAATTTCAAAGCGAAGTCAATAATCCTAGTTCATACGAGAGCCAGACATGTACTCTTTCTAACACCGTTGGAATTTTCGGATTCCGATGTTCCAGTGAGGAGTTATCATGCCCGCCATCAAAAACAAGGACTTTTCTTTAATTACAACAACAAAACAATTACAATTTTTTTTTTTGTAATTTAAGTAGGTCCCTTAAGTAGATACCAATTATATTGATGTATGCACTTAAATATTTACAGGGGGCTTCGTATTCTGATATTGTTTAATATTACCATCATACTAGAGGGCGGTAATGTCGCGCTAATCGCATTGCAATTTAACATGAAGTTATGGTTAAGGGCGATACCTCTACTTTCGGTATTGATCAGATAATATTTAGGAGATGAAAATGGGCCGAACAGTATATTTATGTCTGGGATTTTAGTCGCTCTAGAGGTCATAATTATAAGCCGAACATCACAAATTTATAAGCTCATCCGTCTCATTCAAAAGAATTTGTTTTTCCATCTAATGATTTCTTCGCGGTGCTCTTTAGGAGATGAAATGGGCCAAAAACTTTATTTTTGCTTGGTTTTCTAGTCTCTCTAGAGACTACACGTTCAAAAGAATTTTTTTTTCAACCAAGGATCTCTGTGCATGGCTCTTTGAAATAATTTTTTCTACCCTCTATGGACCCTTAAGTGCGGATTTTTAAAAGTATTTGCTTTAACGAAATCTGTTCCAACATCTACGAATCTCTAAGTGTGGATTTTTTAGCATTTGCTTGAACATGTATGGACCTCTAAGAGAGTGTTTTAAAAGAATTTTCTTCAGAATATATGGACCTCTAACCTTAAATTAAAACAAATTGTTTTACCTTTATCCGTGGGGTTTTAAAACAATTTGATTTACAATCTTGGTCGACCGTCTTTTAAAGTAATTTATTGTGCCATTTATACATTTAAATAAATCGTTTTTTATGGATTTGTTTTAACATCCTCAATAGATATTTAAAGAGTATTTCTAAATATTTTAATGAATTTGTTCGGCCGTCTAGGCCCTCTAATATTAGGTTAGGAATGTCCGATCTGATCCAAACTGATAACATTTCTTTCAAACTCATACTAAGTTCAAAGATTGGGGAAATCGATCCATTCCTTCTGGTATCACCGCCACCGAATGGTAAAAATTGTAATGAAAATTCATTTTATAATATCATGCGAACAGAGCACCTGGTTTAAAACCAAACTATCTAGTATTTCCCCTACGTAGGGTCAACATTTTGAAGCTTTGTAAATCTTATATTAAAAGATCTGAATATCTAAATTTCATCCAAACTTTACTCATCGTAATAGTTTTACCTAGCCCAGATCGAATCCAAAGATGGGACCCATCGGTCCACTCTGGTCAACTATTCGAAAAAACACATACTTTTTATAGAGGGAATAAAAAAAACTGTATTTTATTCCGTAGACCTCCATGACTGTGGGTATATATCTGTCGGCAACAACGACTGACACTTTTTTACTTGTTTAACCATCAATCCGCTCGACTGTCTAGGAGTTCCTAATTTTTGGATTTTTACATAATTTGTTTAAAGATTTTATTTCTAACATCTATGGACCACAAATCGTAGATTTTAAATTGAATTTATTCCACAATTTGTGGATTTCCAAGCGTTGGTCTTTCAAATGAATTCGTTCTAGCATCTATTTACCTTTAAGAATAGATTTTTTCCGACATTTTTGGATATATAAGCGTGGATTTATTTCTAATATCCGTCTGCTGAATTCACGATAGACTTTGCTATATTTTTCTCCCATCAAATGGCTGTAATTTGTAATTTTTAAATATCTCTCACACAAAAATACCGCTTAATTTCTGTTTAGCGAAATTAAGGAAATTTTAATTCACACCACAAGTTTGTTATTTGTCTACAATTACAATTGTTCCTCATTGAAGTCTAGTCTTCAATATGCCACATTTGTTATCCAGTAAATAAATTTCCAATATAGATAACTATCACACATTCTCCATATTTCATTTAACTGTGTACACTTCCCATTTATGACTGTTGGAAATGATGGAGAAAAATTCATATTTATTGTGCGAAAGATGGTAGACAACACAACTCAGCACGTTGTACATCATCACTTGGTGTTACTGGGCCATTCATTCGCTTTTGGTCGAACATGTTTGACATGTTTATTTCATCATTCCCATTTTATTTTGTAATATTTCCGTTTACCTTGGAAAAAACTGGAGAGGATATAAAACTATTCAATTAACAAATGTAGTTGATTGTGTTCAACATGTTGGGGGGTTTTTGACACTAACACAGACATTTCCTTGCCTCTCCATCTTCCTCCTTCTACCACTGAACGCTTGGATTATTTATTTGTAACATAACATGTTTTTGTTGCCATTGTGAAATACATTTTAATTATTTTAATTGATTTTGCAGTGTATATCCTGACCAACTGGTCAGTCGACCATATATATAGATGGGGTTCCTCCTCTTCCTCATGCTCCCAATAACCACCACTTTTCTTCAACGAACTTGTAATAATTTTCATTCTTCTTCTTTTTTCGTTGCAGTAAAAAAACAAACTTAACAAAAAGGAGGCTAAAGGAACAAAAACAAAAAAATACTGAACAAGGACTATACAAAGTTGATCCCATCAAAAACTGGTGTGGGTGAATGTGAGTGGCCTTAATACATAAGACCGAATTGTTGTTGGTCCAGAGTGTATTTTAATGACAGCTATATAATATCCTGTTCGTCAAGCAAAAAATAAAACAACAAACTACAACGTGGAACATTTATCGAAAATCAACAACACAAGTTTTATATAATACAGGAAATAACTTGATTGTTAACAAGAAGAAGATTTTTTATATAAAGTGCATTACTAAAACAGAAACAACAAGAAAAAAACACCAACCAAAAATATAGAACACATTAAGTTACAGTGTAAACAACAACAAAAAAACTGATTTTTTTTATATCCTTGCTGAACAAATTACATGAAATAACAACGTCAGAAAACTATTATAATAATCATCGTCATCAGACCATATCCTTTGTTGTTGTATACCCGAGAGTAACAAAATAACAATAGCAACAAGAAAAAAACAATAGCAACAAGAAAAAAACAAACAAATAAAATACATAAATATTTGTTCGTTTCTGGTCCATTATTGACTTGCTGCACAGCTGAGGAAAATCTACAGTTTTGTATTTATAACCCCAGCCACCATAGTCATCGCCATCGCCTAATTTAAACGGCAATATTAACTGTGGTATCAACATTAGTCGTTTGGCTTGCTTGTAATAACAAACCACATCGTTATCCATCTCTTCTCTCGCTCTCCACAACATTGCTCAGCAGTAGCGGCAGGAAATAACTCGGCTCAAATAAAACAAACTATCTTCATTATGTCAAACTGGGAAGAATTCTACAATACTCATCTGCCTCCAGCAGATTTTGAGGATAATCGTTCACTACTAAAGGAATTTTGTGAACGTCATAATCGACTGCAAAACCGTATCGTCCTTGTAACAGTAAGTTTAAACAATGTATATACTTATATATTTTTTATTATTTTTATTAACGTTATGATATTTGATACTTTATATAATAACGGTCCAGTTGCTGATAGTAGACATCAGAATTTAGCGTTTGGCCATATCGAAGCAACTCACAATAAATTATACCCTTCCAGTCCCACCTATTTTTTCTGTTAATTGTTTTTTTTGTTAATTGGTGTGGCACCCAAACATCGAGCTCCTTTTTGAATCCAGTTTTGTGTAAATAGTTTAAAACGGTTTATGGTCGATGTTACGTCTGCGATGTTACGTCTGCTAAAATGCCGGTCCACTTCGATCATTTCTCCCGTTTTATCGACATTTTTGACGACCTAATGGATTTATTTTCCCCCAACCTAATATATTTACTAAGCTGTCTTGTGACAGAACATTAGTTCCATAAGCCGAACTTAAAAAAGATTTCCAGGCGCAGTTCTTCCAATTTGAAAGACCATGTTCCGAAATGTTCTCTTCTACTTGGTATTTCCATCTAATTCGTGGCTTCCCCTTCTGCATGAACCCCTCAGTTTTTATATGCCTTTTGAGCAATTCTCACGACATGACCTAGCCAACGTAGTCGATGTAGATCGGCACATAGATCATCCGGAGAATTTTTCTATCAAACACTCCAAGAGCTGCCTCATTTGCTTGTGCAAGTACCCATGCTTCAGATCCCTACAACAGCACGGGTAATATCAGCGTCTTGTAGAGTGTTAGTTTGGTCTGGCGAGTTGCTTACTCCGACCATAGTAGCATCTGTTGGCCAACACTATTCTCCTCCGGATTTCAAATCTGATGTTATTGTTTTGTTTATGGCGGTACCGAGGTATATAAAATCTTTAACTACCTCGAAGCTGCAATTCTCAAGTTACACGGTTGGTCCGAGTCTACTGGATGTCTTGCGTGTTGGTCTTCTCGCTATTTACTTCCAGTCCGCTGAGCGGAGTGGGCTGTCGAATGCGGCTTTGTATTCGACGAATAAGTAGAATGTGTCGATGTATTTTACGTGGGCCTTTTCCATTCCATACCGATGTCCAATATCATTGACCATTGGCTTCAGTCATTCACACAGTACCTTTGCTTCTCGTATGACCTTTTCCAGCAGGATGTTAAAAATGTCACAATATTAAATGCGATTGGAAGGAGGCTACTTCCTCTATAGATGGCACATATCGTCTTGTCTCTTTTTTGTGCACTGCGCGTAGCCCATCGGCACCAGCTGCTTTTCTTCTTCAGCCGATTGATTGCTATTTGACCTCATCTTGGCTAGGTGGTATACGGTCTATACCGTCATCTCTTATTTGTTTTGTGGTATCTTCTTCACCGCCACTATTTGATACCAGAAGTTTTTCAAAATGTTCCTTCTAAATTTTCAACACGCTGTCTGTATCTGTCACCAGGTTTCCATCTTCATCTCTACAGGAGGATGTGCCTGCAATTCTTTGTCATTGTGCTTCTAGACTATTATAGGGACATGAAGTCCTTTCGTCAAGCAGTTGGGTAATATGAGCGGAGTAGGCTTCTGCTACCTGTTGTGTTTACAGCTTTTCGACGACGAGTTTCCTTGTTGTGTTAGATCGCACCTTTGCTGCTACATTAAGACGAGTGCGAACCTTGGCTGCTACAACGTAGTGGTCCCAAATGATATTAGCTCCTCGATTGAACGTCTAAAAAACTGGATGAATGCCTTCCGTCTATCGCAACATGATAAACTTGATTTCGTTGCTTGATCAGGAGAAATGCATGTGACCTTGTGTATTTCGAGGTATTTCGAGATGCTAGAATCTGTTGCTGCTAACTACCATGTTTTTGCTGCCGCGAAGTTAGTCAACCTCATGCCGTTGTCGGATGTTTCTTCATGGAGGCTGAATTTTCCGCCGGGGATCCAAAAAATATTTTCCCTTCCGATTTTTTGCAATAAAATCTCCTAGCAGAATTTTAATGTCATGGCCAGGCCTAAAAAACTGGATGAATGCCTTCCGTCTATCGCAACATGATAAACTTGATTTCGTTGCTTGATCAGGAGAAATGCATGTGACCTTGTGTATATCGAGATGCTAGAATCTGTTGCTGCTAACTACCATGTTTTTGCTGCCGCGAAGTTAGTCAACCTCATGCCGTTGTCGGATGTTTTTTCATGGAGGCTAATCCGCAGACAAACAAGACAGAAAGTTTCATGGCAACTACCTTTCCGCCGTTTACATATTTCCTGTAAAAAAATATTTTCCCTTCCGATTTTTTGCAATAAAATCTCCTAGCAGAATTTTAATGTCATGGCCAGGCCAGCGGTCATATGCAGTTTCTAGGCGCCTGTTCTGTACAACGTGCGCACATTCCAAATGCTGATCGCGGTCCTTTATACGTTTGCGGGGGTCAAGAACATTGGGGGGTTTTCTTTTTCATTGTTTTTTTTTTCATAGTAAGAAGGGTTTTCCGAGTGTGGGCAACTAACCCAACGCCTCAACCCATTTCTTTATAGTTCTTATGGATGAACTCGCGGCACATATCATATTTTTTATTTATTTTTTTTTTAAAGATGGACAACATATGTCCAGTCCTTTCAAATAAGGTAAACCTCAAATAAGGTAAAAAACATATATAAATTGATATGGTTCACAACGATGTATATTTTCACGTCGTAATATATTTTCTGTTTTTTTTTGCTATCTGCCAATTACTTTAAATAAAACTTTAATACTTACAATTTTATATACCTCCTTCTCTTAAATAATCAAACTGAAAAAAATCCTCCATCCCAATACCAGAAATTCCTTTTATCATAAATTATGAATGTGTGTGTATTAATTGAATTACCGTTACAAACTAACACACCTTCAGGATATAATTGTATATAAGTTGTGTGACACCTCCAGCTGTGTATTATTATTATTAATAATACCACATATAAGCAAAAAATTCCAAAAATACAAAGAAGAAGAAAATGATTTATTATTGATGATAACACTAAGGTGTTAGAATAGTAATAACAATATTAATGATAAAATATCATGAATATTTTACATGCAATGTCCGAAAAAAAGGAAATGCCCATGGCAATAATATTTTATGCGAGAGCCGAAAGAGTGTGCAAGTGAGAGTAGCCACACGAAACGTCAAGCGCTTGATTGGAAGAAAATTAAAACATTTAATTATGTTAGTAGGTATATGTATTTGATATGCCATACAGACATAATACACATTTCACACGACACAGGGTCAAAGGAGGGAATATCAGAGAATATCATTACATATGGACATGTGTAGCTTTGTACTGTTACTTTATATATTTATATACAAGAAGAAATGTAACACTTAGCTCCTTAATTTACGCCAAGCGAGTCTAAGTTTGCTTAATGGCAAAATTACTTTTGTAAATATGCTTTTGTTGTATCACTTTTCGATACTCCCAAGCAAACTGTATGTATGCGGTAATTTTGAACGACATTGAAAAATTGCCTATTTGACTGTTTATTATGCACACAATTATGCGATGTGTAATTTGAAACATTATGAAAATTGCTTACCAACAGCAGCTTCATAGTAACAGCAGTAATGAAACATTTCCGGCATGTAATAATTTAGGGAATTACTCCTTTTTACGATATACACACATGAGAAATAAATTACGGAAAGTTATGTGCAGTAATTTGATATATTATTTTAAATATTTCAAGTCTGGATGATACTGTTTTACTCCCCATACTTACTAACCTATGGTTGTGATGGTATGTACTTGGCAAGAGAACATTTCTGCCAAAAACAATACGTGTCCAAAGATCTGCATCGCTTTTTTTTTTGTTTTTAATCGCCTCATGAAACACTTGGTGGAGGCTATCTTACAAACTCTACTTCTACCTGACATAGATATTCCTTTGTCTTCCACCATCTACCATGGTGCCAAGGATTTTTGATAATTCTTGGTCCCTTCGTAGTTTGCGATTGATTAGACATTTCTGGCATCATTTTCTCCGACGTTCTTGGGCTATCTTGACGCGCTATGTCGGAAGTCTTTCGCAATATGATTGGGATAGCTTTATGAGAACTTCCGGTGAAAATTTTAGGTTCCTTTTTATCTGAAGGAAGGTGAGCTCCGAGAACAGCATTCAAATCAGTAAGAATGCTTTTTAGATCGGATCGAAAGACAATATGATCTGGAGGTTATCTTTCATAACGTTGGACCGCTCTCATTAGATCACACAGAACCATACTGACCCGCATGGTTGGATAAGTTTTATCCTCTATATAATGATTAGGAAGATTATCCCTGAAGCACCCAAGCAGATACTGAAACGAAGGCATATTGACATGCTGACGGGTGTCATGATGTTGTACCCTGTTCTCAGGGCGACGTTCTAACAGGTCTTAAAACATCTTCATTGCGTAGCCTATCGAATTTTAAGAGGTCAACAAGGTTTTCTTATCTGCGCCCGAAGTGCTGCCGGCAAAGCGATTGAGGACCCTATTCCTACTTTCGTAGATAAATTGTGGTTTGCGACAAACTATTGGAACATGCTGATGATGCCCCCATCGACCTGGGGGGGTCACTGGTGGGTCGAAAAAGGCAGTCAATTTTTTTGAACAAGTTTTGTAGAGCAAATTTTCAATGAATCCAAAATGTCGGATCAAATTAAGGGTATCCCCCAAATTTTGACACGTTTCTCTGGGAGTGTATATCTATCGTTACAAACAAACAAACCTTAACATGCATTGGTATTCATTTACCAGTCCAATGAACATTTTGAAAATTTAAAATCGAGAATGGGGGAGGTCCCCTTAAGAATTTTTTTTTTAATTTCTGATCATATTTGTATATAAAACTAGCATGAAATCGTTGGTGTATGTATAATGGGCATAAAACTATCACAAAAGCTTAATTTAAAATATGAACCATTTGGTTGATAACGTGTCAATTTGGTTGTAAAAAATTGGGTTCCTGGTCCATAGTGCCTGATACGGACTTGACATCTAAGCCTGAATAACTTGTAAAGGTGTATCAAATACCTGACTGCAAATCGTGAAACACTGTTGCTCAAGAGGTCTCCTAACACCCCAGCGTTACAGAAGAAAGGAGGTGACCTAAGATTGGCTATTTAACACGTCAATATAGCCTCGTCGATATTTACAGCTTTTCTTCATCCTAATTCTGAAGTGTATATCTCTACAGTGAGTTTGATCTCCTTTTTCCTTTGTCCCAGCAGTTGACATGGATTGAAGTTCTGCGTCGAGGCTCCTGAGACCTTTTATTGCGGCTTTTACGTAGAAGATCTCACGAATTTCAACAATGTACGACATTAATAACTGGTCCTTTTTCTCAGATATTGATCTCAGGTTAGGTTAAAAAGAGGGATGGTTTACACAAAGGCCTGTGAGTGGCCTGTCGTGATCTATGAAAGTTAGAAGAATTCATATTTAGATTTGTTTTCTCTAGTCTTCTAGGAATTCTATTTTAATTATGAACTCCTTCAGTTTTTCATCCATTGGGTTCGGAAGCATGGCACAGGAAATTATCGCAACAAGGCTATATTTCAAACGTTTTGAAAATTTTTAAGATTCCCCGTGTCCCCTTCTATCTAGCTGGTCAATTTCAAATACCAGACGGATAAATCATCAAGATGTATTTGATTTCTTTTGTGATGTATTGAAAATTTATAGATTAAATAATAGAAATGTAGGAGGCGAGATAACACAGCTCATTGTGTGGTAGACGTTGATACTGTTGACATAGTTTCGTATCGGCATGTTTTGTTTGGTAGCACGCAATGAAAAAGTGTTTAATAACAAAAAATTTAAAGAGCAACAACAACCATAACATGAGGAGAACGATAATCTCGTTGATAATATTTCTCATTTATCTACATATATATGTATGTTGTGAACCTACTATTCTTTAATGTTAAAAGAAAACAAAATAACAATACACCATCACTACGATATTTTGATACAATAAATGTCCAAATACGTTTCAGACAATCCGTCCGGCATGTGTGCTTAATAACATAATAATTACCTTATTGCCCATTTTTCGTAATTTTTGGGTCCTAGCTGAATTTGAAACTACATTTTTCAAACGAAGTCCTCAGGAGATTCAATACCTCCTCGTAGAAATTTGTCAATATTCACTCTTGTAATATCGGTAATTTGTCATAAGAGATTCATATACGGAAATGGATCTCTTTATATAACCATATGTCTTCATATCACACTATTTTATGTCTGCCACTAATTTATGTAGTCCACGATCGATTTTATGTATTTTGAATGTCCACCTCATTGCTGAGGGAATGCAAAGTTCGGCCCATTAGAACTTAGCTTCGTTGTTACATGTTTTATATAACGGAAGTTTTTAATCGTAAGATGACATTTCCAATTCGTCGTCAGTAACTAAAATTAAATGTAGAATTTTTATATGGAATACCTATACAATATATAGCTACATGGAATACCAACATGTTATTTTTCTCCCGCTAAGAGTATCGAAGCAAATATTTAATTTATACAATACCCCAGAAACCTACATAAATATTCATGAGTTGTCTTTCTTTTCAAAATTAAAAAAAAATATTGAACTTGAAAATAAAATCTCAAAGAAACCGATTTTCAAATTAGATATTCTCTTTTATAATGCATTGTAACAAAATTCCAACATTAGTCGAACCCCCATTGGTTGAATAAGAAAAGAAAAGTTTTTCATTAAATTAAAAATCAACAAACCTTTTTATTTCGTTTTTTGTTTTTTTTTTTTGTTTAAATATTTAGTCAAAAATAAAATTAATAACAAAATGCATTTTTTGTTTAAATAGTTTTCTTGTTATTTTAAATCGTCCTTAACACATAAATCAGTACATACATCCATCTGTACACACACTACTTTCCAATGCCAAATTCATGTTCAATTTTATCGGCAACCATTTTAGCAATGGCCAAACTACTGGTAGCACCAGGCGAGGGAGCATTACGGCAGTGCAGCACTCTTGTTGCAAGAGAACCCGCACCAACACCACGATCAAAAACAAAATCATCCACTAAATTACCATCCATATCTAAAGCTTGAGCACGAACACCGGCTGGGCCACGTCTAACATCGTATTCGGTAATTTCAGGAATAAATTTCTGTAAATCCTTAACCTGTAATGGTATAAATGCAGATTTGCTCATTTCCTTAAGACCAAAGCCAATGTATTTTGAGGCCATTTTAAGGAAACCAGGATAGCGAAGAGCATCAAACAATTCCAATAGATTCAAATCACCCCATCTGTAACCTTCACGTTTGAAAGCCAAGACGGCATTAGGGCCGAGCCAAACACTGCCATCCATACGTGGTGTAAAGTGGACACCAAGGAAGGGGAAACGTGGATCAGGTACTGGGTAAATATTGCCGCGAACCATGTGACATTTTTCCTTGGCCAACAGTAAATATTCACCACGGAAGGGTATAATGCGTGGGGAGGGTGGGCAGCCGGTCTTTTCGGCAATTAAATCCGATTGTAAACCACCACAGGTGAGGACATTGCGAGATCTGATCACTTGATGAGGACGATCACCACGAATTGTGACAGGGTATTCGGAGGAACCTTCATTCTTAGATTCTTCAAATTTGCTTACTTTGAAATCCAAATAAATATCACCACCGGCTTGTTTGAAATCTTGACCGAAATGTTCCGTTACCAAACCCCAGTCAACAATACCAGTTTGAGGACTCCACAAGGCCTTGACACCCTTACAATAGGGTTCAACTTCTTGGATTTTGGAACCTTCAATCAGCTGCAAATCAGGTACATTATTCTTCAGACCACGTTCATGTAAATCCATAAGACGTGATACTTCCAATTCATCGGTGGCCACAATTAATTTGCCACATTTCTTATAGGGAATACCTTTGGCATCCAAATACTTGTAGGCCAAGTGTAAACCCTCCACACATAGTTTTGCCTTTAACGTTCCAGGTTTGTAATAAATGCCGGCATGAATTACACCCGAATTGTGGCCACTTTGATGGAATGCCAATTTGTGTTCCTTCTCCACAACGGCAATTTTAAGGGACGGATGACGCATTAATATTTCCCGGGCAGATGCCGTACCGACAATGCCGCCACCAACCACGACCAAGTCATAGTCTCTAAAAAGAGTGGGGTTTTATTAATTTTATTGATTTTCTTCAATTTTTTCATTCATTACTTGGGTTTTCCTTGTGTATGTTGCCATCTTTGACCTCCCGCAGCTGTTGCAGCACCACCCAACGATGAACGTAAATTATTTAACGAACGCAAACTCTGAATTTGTGTCCTCAACATATTTTTTTGGTTTTTTATTATTTTCTATTATTATTTTTTTCAAATTTAATAACTACCACACGACACACCGAACCAAGAACATCGAACGAAGACCTTGCTTAACCTTGACGTCGTCGTCGTCTCCGTACAATTTTCCTCTGGAACGATATCAGCTGATAAACAAAAACGAAATGTGACTGACTGAACTGAAAAACAGCAGCAAAGCAGCAGACAGTGAATCCAAAACACACGCACTTTACTACTACAGCGTGATAGGGTTGCCGTGTAGTACAAAAATGTGGGGGATTTTGCTTTACAAGTAATTCCCTCGGTAAATGAAAAATGCTATATTATTTGAGTAATTAAAATAGGAAAACAAATTATATATAGTTTTTTTTTTTGTTTATTTTATTTTTTAAAATTTGTCCCAAATTTATTTGTAGGCTCCATATTATTAAGTGTCTTAGTCGAAATTTTTTTCAGCGAATCGGCTATAATTTTATATTTTGATTTAACATTGGGTGGCAAATCTTCCTCCATATACATATCGGTCTATCTTTGGGTATGGCCCTCATATAACGGTCCAGTTCCGGTTGTTCTGTGTTCGATAGCTCTTATAAGGTGTAACAGATTTACTCCAAACTCTGCACGTAGTATTATTTCTTCTTAACTTAGATTAAGCTCGAATATGATCCAATCGATCCGTTTTTTCTGGTACCTCAATCATAAAATCATCAATATTTTTCTAAAAATGAATTTTATATTATAATGCTCAACGGAATATACAATTTCATACAAATTGACACATGAAGATAGGGTCAATTGGTCCATACCTTCTGGTATCTCACCCACAAAGTGTCAACATTTTTAAAACTTTTAAATATAATTCAAACATTGATTTGCCAAATGTAGGTCGAGTGCAATGACGGGATTTCCTTTTTCCTCTGGTACCTCTCTCAAAAAGTGTAAAAATTTAGAAAATTTCTTATGAATCAAATGGAGTATCCGATTTGGGTGGTAAATGACATTTCTTATATTTAGTGGATCTATCGGATTAATAGGTCCATCATTTGTTGTATCTCCACCAAAAATGTCAGGATTAGTGTACACTACATACGATATTTCATATTATAGGAGTATATATGTCTGTGGGAAGTACCGACTGACACTTTTTACCTATTTGTTTTACTGTTCTAACTTGAGTAACTGAAATTCGGCGACCTGAAAGGGTGTTGTGTATTATGTAGACCTTAAACACATTACTTAGTTTCTCCGAGGATTGTACTTACCCTGTAATTTTGAATTGTTTACCTAACCTGCATCAGTTCAATCCTGTTTAATAGTACTGTTGATATACAGACTCTCTTTTCTGTATTTCTGTACCTCTCTCTAGTTCGTGAATATCCTTCCTGACATACCTAGGGTATTTATTGCATCGACAATATCTTGTATTTTATTTTTCCAGCTGGGAACTAATTATTCGATTTAGCAGCTTCATTCTTCTATATATAATATTCTGCAAGGAGCCCACGCTTATATATTCTCTCCTGCAGGGCTGCTTTTAAAATAGTCTTTGAGATATTTACTCGTTTTTTGGGGATTGAATAAAATATTGTTTAGAAACTTCGTCAGTCGGGCTTCTTGGAAAAATTTTTGTTTAAAAAAAAACGATTTTCTTGGGTGTTAAAAATATGTTTAACAGGCTTTTTAAAAAATATTTAAAAATTCACGCCTTTTTTTTGAGTCAGGAAAAAAATTCTTCAGAAATCCACGTAGGCTTTTGGTGTTAAAAAATTTTAAAGCACGTCATTTGATTAATAATTGGCTTAAGTATTTTCTAAGTAAATATACATATACTTGCGGACCCAGCGAACACTTAGAAAATCCGATTTCTCCAATTTTTCGACTTTTCTTGAGGCTCAAAATACCTTCTCACTGCGATTACAAACAACGGTAAGAAAATATGAGTGAAATCAGTCCAGCCCTTCTCAATTTTGTGTTACCATAAATTTTTAAAGTATTAAATATTTAAAAAAATTCGAAAATAATTAATTATTATAAATTTTTATTAAATAAATCTAAATATTATAACCTAAAAAAATTAAATTTCGTTAACCCAGTGGGTTTCAATTGTCAATACCTTTGCATATATGTCAAATAAATCCTCATAAAGTAGGTTTTGAATACTTAATTCTTATTTTTGGTATTTCAATAATTCCGTCTATGAACATTTTTCTCCCCAGTTTTTCTTAAATTTAAAAATGAAAATTGGTAACCCTACCAAATGGTATTCTTATCACCCATCAGCTGTGCTCCAGTCAACCCATTTAATTCTTAATATTTCACCATGAATATTGACGCATGGCAACTGTCCAAAAAATTTTATTTTGAAAAGTCTTTTTCAACATGCCAATTTTATTTTCAAACAAAAAACTCTTAATACATATAAAAGTTCATATAAATGGATACAGAAAATGTTTTTCAACATTTTTCTATTGCATTGAATTGTGCCTTTGCTTGTGACTCACTTTGTCATGTTGTTATACACATGCTAACAGAATTCTCACCATTGCTGCATTGCCGCAAAATTTCACCATGACAATTTTCCTTCTGGTTGGCGGTGGTTTACCCACAGCCAGTTGAATGAACGGCAGTGTACTTGTTAAAATGATTTTGTAACATGGCAAAAAAAGAAAAAAATAAAATAACGAAAAAAAACAAGCAAATACAAAGTGTATACACTAAACAAGTTGTAGCTTTCAGTATTTTTTTAGTTTCGCCAATAGGTTGGCAACGCTGATGTTTGAAAACTGGAAGCAAACAATGAAATAAATATTTATTTTTCTTATCAAATTTATTTTTATAATCTTCAAAATTAACACTTATTCTATCTCAAATATTATTTTCATTGTTGTTTTTGTTATATGCTGTTATCTTTGTAAAATGTTGTTCATTTGATGTTAGCACTAATGCATTGTTAGATATGATTAATCTAATAAAACAATTAACCCATTTCGTGCCACTGTATGATTACTTTTTGTGGAATGTTTTCATAATTTTTCTTTCAACGATATTCAAGGGAATTTAAAATACGAAATTCTTGTATTATATATTTCATAAGGAAATTTTTTATTTATTTTTGAATATATTTAGTTTTAATAAATACGGATTTAATAAAACAATTATTTTGAAATTTAGAACTGTAGTTTAAAAGAAAACTAGTTTATAACAAAACTATAGTTCTAAATTTTAAAGTAATAGCTTTATTAAATCCGAATTTATTAAAAGAAACCTTCTACTATAAAATTTCAAATTTGAGGGTTACCTTTTTTTTGGCGAATATGGCTCGATATTTTCTCTTTAAACGATATTCAAGGGAATTTTGAGATTTGTTTAAGAAGTATTTTGAATTGTATTATTTATAAGAATGACTTTATTTATGCGCGATTAACTATTCTCGGACCTCTCTGATAAATATATTAGTTTTTTAATTAATTAATATAGTCGATTTAACATTTTGACATTTTTCAATGGATTAATATTAGGTTGGGGAAATATAAATCCATTATTTTTCCGGTAAAATCTACCATAAAACTGTTTTAAGGGAACCCCTCCCATTCTCGATTTTAATTTTTCAAGATTTTCAATGGACTGGTAAATGAATACAAATGCTTGTTAAGGTTTGTAACTTAGCACATATATAATTGAAGATTTAAAAGAGAAGAAAAATAATTTACAAAAAATTTTTGTTATTGTTTTGTTGTTGTTTTTTTGTAATTAAAGAAAAGTCTTTATTTTTGATGGCGGGCATGATAACTCCTCACTGGAACATCGGAATCCGAAAATTCCAACGGTGTTAGAAAGAGTACATGTCTGGCTCTCGTAAGAACTAGGATTATTGACTTCGCTCTAAAATTAACAAAATGGTGGACCTTTGAAAAAATATTTTTGGAATTTTTTTTTTACCAAAAACCAAGTTAAAAAATAAGGAAGATCTTCACCGATTGACTTTATCCTTGTTCATACGAGAGCTATACACTACCAGAGAAACGTTGCAAAATTTGGAACCGATTGGATTATTAGTTTTTGAGTTATCTCAACACTTTTTGAAGATATACCCGATTTATTGTGTAAATGCAAAAGGGCTTCTCCAACTTTAAACGCGTTTTTCTCCAAACAGCGTTTTTGCGAATGGCGGGTCCGATAACTCAAAAGCTAATAACTTACTTTACTTAGCTGGCTTGTTACAGATCGGTTGTTCCATAAGCCGAGCTTAAAAAAAGATATCCATGCCCGTCGGTCTTGTGCGCATCTCCTCCAATTTGAATGACCACGTTCTAAGGTGTTTTTTCTACTTGATCTTTTCATCTAATTCGTGGCCTTCTCCTTCTGCGGGAACCATCAGTAGGAACGCATTGGGGCATTCTCATTCATTCGCACAACATGACCTAGCCACCGTAGTCGCTGCAGCTCAATACGACTGACTATGTCGATGTCCGCGTATAAATTGTAGAGCTTGTGGTTCATTCGACGCCGATATTCACCGTCGACGCAGATCGGCCCGGAGAATTTTCGTTTCAAACACCACAAGAGCTGCCTCAAGTGCCCATGTTTCAGATCAATATAACAGCAATGGTAGTATCAGCATCTTGTAAAGTGTGAGTTTGGTCTGGCGGGAGGTGGCCTTGTTCCTAAATTGCTTACATAGACTATAGTAGCATCTGTTGGCTATCACAATCTTTCCCCGAATTTCAAAACTGATGTCATTCGTTTTATTTATGGCAGTACCAAGGTATATAAAATCTTTAACTACCTCGAAGCTGTAGTTCTCAAGTTCTACAGTTGGTCGACGAATAGGTAGTATATGTCGATGTGTTGTGTCGTGGGTCTTTTCCAGGATTTGGCGCAGAGTGAAAATCTGGTCAATGGTGGATTTGCCAGGTCTGAAGCCGCATTTGTATGGTCCAATAATATCATTGACCATTGGCTGACCTGACCAGCATCTGATCGCCAGTCTTGAA